ATTTTTAATAAATAAAACGGGATTCAAGCTCAAGTATCAAAATGTTAGCGTACGTCATTATCAATCAAATCAATGTTTTATGTCTGACAAAGAAAACTTTTATAAGAGTATGAATTCATCATGTTCTTAAGAGGAAACAGCATCATAAAAGCTTGAAAAGCCAGTTGGAACGAGCTGTCTGTCCTCCATAGTTTTCACCCTCTTTCCTCCTCAAAAAAAAACAAGAACAATAGATACAAGCAAACAACGCAACTTAAAGGTTGAAAAGCCTCTTCAAGCAGCACGTTGTCCTCCCCGTCGCTGCTTTATATCCACACAACATGGACCATCTACCTGCTCTTCCTTTGTCTTCTTCCCATATTATCTATCTATCTATATATATATATATATATATATACATATATGAATAATCTTTTTATAAAAAAAATTATTCTAAAAACGCCAATGCCAATGTTAGAGATCGATCTATTGAGAACTCCAAATAACTTTGGGCCTCCAATCCAATAAGGATCAAAAAGCGGGTCGTTGGATCGGCCCACGGCCCACGGCCCACGGCCCATGAAATAGACGAGCCGGACCATGGGCTGGTTTACCTTATAAGAGTGATGTATATTATGTTTCCATAATTGCAATAAATTTGTTTTTTCCAAAAATAAATTGAAGGTTTTCTAAAATTGCTGTCGTTAAGTGATTGCTTGATTACATTCTCCATTACTGCTATAGCAGTAGTGATTAGTGAAAGGAGACGACGTCGGACGGCGCCGTCAAGGTGTCGGTCAACGACAGGAATAGGTGTGTGGGCGCCACCGCCGTCATCAGAAGGGCCCATCGACGGAAGAGGAAGCAAAGCACGGCCACGAGTACCCGTATGCGATACACGATGTACGTATTCTGTACAACACGTGGAGGTACAGTCGATGATGAGATGGGAGTCACCCGTCAACTGCTTCATCCTTACACTGAACAGTCGCAGTAAAACAAAAATATATTTTCTTTTGATTTAAAAACATTTTTTTACATTAAAAAAAGTCCCCAATCGTCGACGCATTGCCCAAAAATAAAATAAGAATTGGAGGGGGGATCGAAGAGCGGAGTCAAAGTAGTGGTAGGAGTGGGAAGGAGTGGCCCTCCGCCGTCTCCTCGCCCCCCCCAAATCTAGGGTTTTAGGTGCAGGGGTTGCGTCCTATCCGCTCCAAGTCCCTCCAAGATCGCTCCTTTGTGGCTTGATTCGTCTCGATTCGTGGCGGGTTCGTGCTTCCTCGGAGGCCGACTTGTTTTTTTTGGGCCTCGATCTCCCTCCTTCGGAAGCCGACGGGTGCTGTTTGGACGCTTCCGTCCTGTGTGTACCGGTAGGGATCGAAGGGTTGTCGTTCTCGGTTAAGGGTTGCCCTTGCTTGTGTTTGTTGGGAGATTCGCTTTTCTTGCTCCGAGAGGTTGGTGCGGAAAGGGGATTCTTCGTTTCCGGTCCCGTGGAAGCATTCTAGGTTTGTAAAGTTGAGATCTTGGGGGGTTTTTTTTCTCCTTTGGGGCTGCTCTGTGGCGGTCGAGGAGAGGATGGCGACGGTGGATGGGGTGTAGGATAGGTGCGGTTGGAGTCGAAGATGGTAAGCTAACTGCGGCCGGGGTGCTGAGCTCTATATCCTCGTTGATGGTGGTTCAGAACAAGTATGTGTGTAGCCTCTACAACTTATATGCTTTGTTTCTTCTTGTTACTTCTAGATGAATCTGGTATCTGTCAATGTTCAACTTGGTTTTGAATTTAGTTCCCGTGGTCATAATTACCCTTTTTTCTTTTCTTGCTTGACACAATTGCAATCAGCTTTATTTTTTCTAGGCTCAGCAGCTGCGATACCTTCTCTGTTTTCTCCCTTATAAATTAACTTTCTACCTCTTTGTCTAAGACAGCAACAATCACTATGCTCAGCGTTCCTTTTTTTTTTTTTTTTCTCATCCTCGTTATGGAATTGTCAAAATGTCGAGTGTGGACATTAGATAAAATAAAATATTAGTCGAAGCTGTGACTTGAAACTGCATCAAAACAACCAAATTTGTTTGACTGTGTTTATTGCATATCTCATCTTCAGTGTTTTCAAATGATTGGATCTTTGAAATGAATCTCTCTCAGTTGGAGACAATGCACAGAAAATTTAAAGGGATGAGAAAAAAAAAGATGATCATGCAGAACTTTTTGGAATGTGTGAAAAGGAGGGGATTCTTTATTGTCTACTTTGTAATGGATCTTTGTCATGTGATTGTTACTGACAGAACATATTACATCATCTAGGAACTCTGTCTAGCCTTTTTCTCAAAAATCAGACTTGAGTGAGAAAGGCCATCTATGCTTTCGAGGATGAAGAATACTATTGACTGCGGTTTTGATTAATGATCACTACACTAAAGTTTTGACATTGCTAAACAGGAAGCAATGTTTTTACTGTATTATTAGGTTGGTCTTTGAAGACGAGCCGGCATTTGTCATCAAACATTTTGGAACATTTAGTTGATGCATGTAATTCTTTTGTATGACCCACAGGTTTATGTAAAGGAACAACTTGGCAAAGTCTGTCAAGAAATCCAAAATGGGAAGAAAGACTAATACTATGTTATTGCATGGCTCTTTGAAGGTTACTAGAGTTTTCATTTCTTGTGAAGTTTTGTAATGTGAATACTTAGGCTTATAAAAGAATGACTTGAAGAAGTATGTGAAGATAAATGGATAAGTAATGTGCCCAGTGCCATAAACCTAAAATTCACTGTGGATAAGAAATTTTTTTTCTTTTGATCTTCTGTAGAAAAAGGAGATAAGGGGTTCATCAAGGAAACTTTTCACTTTGCTTAAACCTCCAAGTATCATGGTGCATCATGCCTTTCGATATGGAATTCTCAAGCTTAACCTGAAATATTTGTTTGGTTGTTGCAAGGTTTACTTTTTGTTGTTGCAATTTTAGATGTTATTAAACTTCCAAAATGCAAGGCTTGCTCAAAGGGATGGAGGAAAAGGGTTGGTGTAGCAAAGCTATATCTATGATTTTTGAAATTCAAAAAATTGGCAGATCCCAATTCCATTGTCATCTTGGGAGACTTGGCTGATATTGATGGGTTTCAGTTGTCTTTGGTTGATTTTAATTGATCTTGTTCTTTGTCAAGCCAATTCTTACTGATCACAGGATCAGTCTGGTGAAATTTTAGTCAAGTTGCACGTTCTTTCACTTCTACCAGCTTTTAGTAGAATTTGGTGGAGCTTTTAGCACCATGCTGATACTGGCCTACCGAGGAGGATCATTTATGGCAGATCCATCCAGATTTGGTAGTGAGACTGTCATGATATCAACCTCTTGTATCAGACTAGTTGTGAATGTGTACACTTGTTGATTTGGGTCAACATGCATATGGACACGGTCGAGTTAATTTATTATTTATCTCAAATCAACATCATTGTTGGTCCCTTTATAAGCATGCTTTTGTGCTTCAGAATGGTTGACGTAGCAAGAAAAGAAAGTAAGGAGAATGAAGAAATGTCTGGAGGGGAAATGTGTTTGAAGAGGAAAGAGAGGAAATTAGGGAAAGAGAATGTGGAAAATTGGAATAAACAACAGGGAGCCAGGTGGCTGGGACCCTCTGTCATGTTGTTCTGGTTAGTATGACCTGTGCCACACATCAAATGAATACATAGATGATTTGGTTCAGCATGCATAATTCAGTACGCAAATGGGTACCTTATGAATCACTGTTCTGTGTGCATCACATTTGTGCTGCTATACGCATTGGCTTTTTGAGCTTTAGCAACTGCTACTTTGCTTAATGGCAACTGCTATTTTACTTAGTAGATTCATTAAGTTAGCTAGGACGAATAGACTTGATTTATTTGGGTTTCAGACCTAAGACAAAGAATTGTGTAGGGATACATGATAGAGAAGTTTTCATTCTTACTGATAACTGCACAGGAGAATATGTTTTGGATTGATGTTAGAAAGTTGAGCTTCCAATAACAACAAAAATATGTTCTGAACCAAGGTTTTCTTCACCATAATATTAGCTCTTTAAATTTTTCTTTGATACTAGAAATGCCATCTTTTAAAAATATCTACAAAATATTGATGTAAGTAGTATGAAAAAATTGGAAATTACCTACTTAATTTTTCTTGAGGAAGCGTTGGATGCATCTTAAGCAAATTTCTATTGGTCCCAAATAAGATTATCTTAAACGGGAAAATATTCTAGAAGGCCGAAACTAATTAAGATTATATCCTGAACTCTTACCTTTAATCTAAAATGGTAGCAGGACCTATGAGTTGCCTTGTCATTTGTGCTGATCTGGCAGCTAGCATGCAATAAAGTGCTCGAGCCATAAATTCCTTCTCTGTTTCGTATTCTCAGTTAAGAAAGTTTTCACATATTCTTGTATTTTATAGCTTCACATGTTAGGCTAGCTACTTGATGCTGGTAGGAAAACACTCTCCTTATTTTTTATTTTCCTGGTAACAGACTCCACATTCAGCTGCTACTGTTGAGTGTTTGACTTCTCTCCAACAGAAGATTAGCTTGGTGCCATAATCTTGCAGTCACTTTGAAAACCAGGAAGATTTTCGACAATGGCAGATACTAGTCCTAGGACAGATACCTCCACAGATGTAGACACAGATGACAAAGATCAGATGGTGATTTTCTTTGCTCTTTTTTTGGAAAGTGATACAAACAACTGAATGTTATTATATGCATCATCTGAATGTTAGGTCGTCTTTCTTCCTTGGCTGTTTTTTTTTAAAAGATGAAGTGGGGAAAGTCTCATCCATTCTGTTTCTTTATTCTCTTTTTTTTACCTGCCCTTGCAATTTTTGTTTCTGCACTATGTTAAAGTACTGTAAACTGCATTACTTCTCTGTATGCTTTTCGTTAAGTGCATATAAAGTACGCCAAGTATGAGTAATTTTCGGTCAACAATTTGTATATTACTTCTTTCTGTGCAATATTTAAAAAACTGGGTTGTTAGACCTAGAAGTTCGGATGCCTCTTATGCATGCTTATATGCTTCTCTGGTTCATTACTTTGTTGATTTTCCATGACCACTTATCTCTACTTTTATGTCATTTCTGTATGCATCTTTCCTTAGCCTTAGAAATTATAAACGCATCATTGACATGATTTTTCCTGGATTAAGTCTGTATGTCTAAGATTTGGTGCTGATTCAGGATTAAAGGAGGTTGTTTTGGAATGGAATCCATTATGTTCTTTGTGGTTGTGTTTCTGAGGACTTCCAAATTATGATTCAAATCAACTTTGATGTCATCTATATTACTTCTTTTGGCATGTTGCATGAAACATACTGTAGAACACAACCTAGCGAATAATGGAACTTTAGAAGCTTTTAGATGTACATGTTGTAAGTAGAGCAGGCCACGATGATGATTTTTAACTATAAACCTGTTTTGATGAGTTTAATTGTCATGCATTGTAGAATGAACCTACTTGTTAAGTTTAAGCTATGGTCTTTTTATTGTCAAGGACCCAGTTTATACATAGTAACTTGGAGCATGATATCTTTATAGTATGATAGGTGGCGTTGATAGAAATGCAACCATGATTTTGTGTTCATTGTAGTTATATGTCAACACAGAATTTGACTGATTTAGAGGATTTATGGCCACAACATGTAAATGGATTATGCTAATATTTGTTTTCTGATTAGAGGTGAATGTACATCTTCATGTCACTTGAATTTAAATTTCATTGTCCTCTGCGACTTTGGATTTCTTTATCTTGATTTGCAGTTAGAACAAGGACAACTTGCTGTTGTTGCAGCATCTGATTCAAGTGACAGGTCGAAGGACAAAACACTGGACCAAAAAGTAACTATATTCTGCATTTTACAGTCAATTGTCACCTTCTGTATTACTCAAAAAGTACAATAACATCATTGAACATTTTTGCCGGACAGACACTTCGTCGACTTGCTCAGAACCGTGAAGCTGCCAGAAAGAGTAGGTTAAGGAAAAAGGTAATTCATCTATATCTCGCCGGAGGTTTTATTGCTGCTTTGTGGTAGCACTAATAAGAAACAGTATTTTATGTTATTGGGTAAAGAGTTTTGTCTAAGATGATGTCATTAGGAATTAGTTGATGCCAGGTTGATGACCCTGTTGTTAGTTCTCCATGTAGCCTCCACAATTTTAATTTGTACTTTATAGCTTACCTCACAATAGTAGGTAAATGTAATGACCTGTCTATCATTATGTTGATTTGGCATAGAAGTGAGCTCATTTTGCAAATGTAATTGAAATTTGTATTATGATGAACATTCCTTTTTTTTTCCTTTTCATGCAAATAAGATTTTTTATGTTAATTTTAATCAGATGTGTTTCTGATTAATTATATATTCACCTCTCTCCTTAAATTACAAGGCTTATGTACAACAACTAGAGACTAGTAGAATGAAGCTTACTCAACTTGAGCAGGAGCTCCAAAGAGCTCGCCAGCAGGTGTGACCCTTTTCTTGATCATCTCCTCTTATCTGTCCTATTGAGAATTATTATTTTTTAACATTGTGGATTATGTAGTCAGGTTGAGATTTATGTCCTTTTTGCAGGGAATTTTCATTTCTAGCTCAGGAGATCAAACTCATGCTATGGGTGGAAATGGTAATTTCTCTTGCATGATTTCTTGTTCTATTTTTGTGTTTATGATAACCTTGTCCATAACATACATAGACGAGTATATTTTGATTTGAACGACTGGCATAAGTGCATTTGTCACAAAGGTTTTTCTCCATGCTACTTGTACTTTTTGTCTATACTTAACCTGATATTTTCTGTTTTTGATAACTTATAGAAAAGTAGCGTAACGAGGGTTTAATAAGGGTTCATCCCTCAACAGATTTGTAATCTGAATTTACATTCAAACTGGCTAACTTTTGTTCTTTCATATGATAAATTCAAAATCATATATGGCTACCTTCGTTACATGCTAGCATAGATTGTGTTTTAGTTTATTTGCCACCTGTCCTATAATCAGTGTCTAAAAAAATAATCATTGCAGGGGCCTTGGCTTTTGACGTAGAATATGCACGATGGCTTGAAGAACATAACCGGCAGATCAATGAACTGAGGACTGCAGTGACTGCTCATGCCAGTGAAAATGATCTCCGTGTTATTGTTGATGGCATCATGGCCCATTACGATGAAAAATTTAAGCTTAAGGGTGTTGCTGCCAAGGCAGATGTCTTTCATATATTATCAGGGATGTGGAAGACACCAGCCGAGAGGTGTTTCTTATGGCTGGGGGGTTTCCGCTCATCTGAGCTTTTAAAGGTATGGGACTTTGTACCTCGCAATTTTTTCATGCTACCTGAAGTTTACTCCATCAAATGAATGTGCAGTGGAAGCAATCTAAATTGGCTAACTTTTTTTTTTTTGTAAAATGTCTAATTTGGATTCTCATTGGCTCCCCAAACAGTTGGGACGTACACATTGATGTCATCATCATTGTGGATCTCTCTTTGGGTGTTTTCTTTTTTCCTTTTCTTTTTGTTGGATCACTATCTCAGTTCTCATTATGCTGCAACTTCACAGCTACTTGCAAGTCAGCTGGAGCCACTTACAGAGCAGCAAGTAATGGGCATTTGCAACCTGCAGCAGTCATCACAACAGGCCGAGGATGCTCTCTCTCAAGGGATGGAGGCATTACAGCAATCCTTGGCGGAAACATTGGCTGGATCACTTGGTCCATCTGGATCCTCAGGAAATGTTGCAAACTATATGGGTCAAATGGCAATGGCGATGGGCAAACTTGGAACTCTCGAGAGTTTTCTTCGTCAGGTGAATTTTACTAATGCTCAGATTTTCCGTCTCCTATTTATCTATTATAGCACAGAGGCTACTGCATACTTTGGATTAGTTTGCTGTTGTGCAGTTTTATCATTTCTGTGTTCTCTTTCTATTCTCTAGGTCTTTTTGGTGTCTCATTTTGTATCCATGTAGCCTTGCTTCTCGCTGTCCAAAGAAGTACTGAACTTGAAATGATTATCATTCACGACTGTTTCTGTTTATTTTTTCCAGGCTGACAACCTACGACAACAAACACTGCAACAGATGCACCGGATATTAACTACTCGTCAGTCTGCACGGGCACTTCTTGCCATCAATGATTACTTCTCACGGCTTCGTGCCCTCAGCTCTCTTTGGCTTGCTCGGCCGCGGGAGTAAGCCAAATTTGTTATTTGTGCCTTACCTGAGCTCATTTCTTCCTACTCTTAGAGCTGATCACAAAAATATCTATCTTATCGGTCAGAGTTACTACTAGCTCCAGTATATCATGGCTGGCTGGATGCTTGCAGTGTAGTTTTAGACACTCGGTGGAGCTAAAACTTAACTCATGTACAGCAAGAATAGCCCACCATTCTCATGCGATGTACCATTAACTTGTGCGAGAAAACCCACCTCATGTTGTTGGCGTTCTGTAAGCTTGTATTGTCTCAGTTAGAAAAAAATGATTATTGAATAATCACGCAGAAATTTTACCTAATGTTGTTTCTTGCGAATTGAAGCTGTTGATATGTTTATGAGAATGCCGTGCAAAGGGTGATGTTGTGTTCCTATCTGAGAACAAACAGGCTATTGGATCCTCTTTATGCCACCGATGCATGTGTTCTGAGAATGCCGTGGATTCTATATGGTAACGTTTATCTAACATTTTCCATGAAGATGTTTTGTAGTCGAACATATACATGCATCAAAACCAAAGAGACAAATCCAAACAAGAAGCAAAACAGTACAGAAGGGAAAGCCATGCATGAGTGCGTGGGCGGATCAAATGTATGCTTCAGTCGCCAAGCGTGGGCTCAGAAGCGCCTTGACAGGCACAGCCTTGGGGAGCGCCAACCCAAACTTCTCCTCCATGTCGAGCTCCTCCCCCTCCGGCAGCTTCCAGTCGAACGAGTGCACCAACGTCGCCAGCATGTACTGCACGAACACCATGCCCACGAGCTTCCCCGCGCAGATCCGCCGCCCGGCCCCGAACGGTATCAGCTCGAAGTCGTTGCCCTGCGGGTCGATCTTGGCCGCCTTGCCGGAGACGAAGCGGTCGGGGTCGAACGCGAGGGGGTCGTCCCACGCGGCGGGGTCGCGCCCGATGGCCCAGATGTTGACGAGGAGGCGGGTGTTGCCGGGGATGTAGTAGCCGTTCACGTCGCACTCCTCGAAGGAGAAGTGGGGGAGGCCGAGAGGTGTGGACGGGTGCAGGCGCAGCGCTTCCTTGCACACCGCGTGCAGGTAGGGGAGCTTGGGCAGGTCGGATTCCTGGACCATGCGGCCTCGGCCCACCACGTAGTCGATCTCGGATTGCAGGCGGCGGAGGATGCTCGGGTTCTTCAGCATCTCCGCCAGCGCCCACTCCACGATGACCGCCGACGTGTCGGTGCCGGCTGTGAACAGGTCCTGCATGCAGAGTGCAGACGTGATCAGCAACCAAGGTTTGATCAAACGAAGGTTAGAATCTCGAGGAGTGCTGATGGTGTCCTCCTCGCCCCACCGGCCAATTCAAGAATAGCCTTCGGAACCTAATCTAAAGATGGATGGTGACGCATGCTGGAGTGGAGTAGATTTGTAAGTTATTCGATGGGCATTTGGTCGAGCACCTTAATCAGACACCTAATCTTGGGAGTGGAAAGCTCAAGGAGAACTCACAAAGATGATAGCCTTGACGTTGACGTCCGTGATGGTCTCGCCGTCCTCTCCCTCCCTGTTGGCCATGATAGTGTCGATGAAGTCCGGCCTCCCTCTGCGCTCCTCCTTGGTGGTCTCGTGCTCCTCCAACAGCTTCGTCACCATGGCGTCGAACCGAACATGCACCCTCCGCATCTTCGCCTGTACCCGCTGCAGGTCCATCCACGCGATAGCCGGCACGAAGTCGCCGATGTTGAACAGCCCGCCCCCAGTCAGCAGCTCCACGATCATGTCCTTGTAATGGTTCGACTCGATGCCCTGGACGTCGAACACCCGCTTGCTCACCACTATCTGGCCAATGATGTTGGCCAGGGCGCACACCAGCATCTCCGGCAGCACCACAGGGCGGCCCTCCGCGGCCGCTCGGTGCATGGACACGACCATGTGGCCGAACTCGGCGCGGCGCACCGGGGCCCAGTCGGCAAGCGCCTTGCCGCCCAGGAGGTGGAGGCTGCAGAGCTTGCGGAGGAGCTTCCACTTGGGGCCGTAGTCGGCGAACACCATGTTCTGGCGGTGATAGGTGACGTCCATGGCGCTGATGACGTTCGGGCGGTTGGCGAACTGCGCGTCGTGGGCCTTGAGGAAGGCGCGGGCAGCGCCGGCGTCAGATGCCACGACGCAGCCGCAGCTTCCCATCTTGAGGTACATAATGGGGCCGTAGCGCTGGGCCAGGCGGGCTAGGCCGGTGTGCGCCTGGAGGCCGACGAGGGGCAAAGCGCCGAGGACAGGGTAGCCTCGGGGGCCGGGCGGGAGGGGGAGGCGAGAGGGCGACCTGTGAAGGAAGCGGCGGAGGAGGTGGTGGATGACGAGGCAGAGCGCGGCGGTTGCCGCGATGAAGGGGTCGATTTGCATGGTGGTGCTCAGCAAACAGCCACAAGCAAATTGATTATGTTATGTGATGCTTAGTGCCGAGCTGTCGATATATATACACACACATATATACATACATATATATATATACATATATACATACATATGTATATATATATATTTACATATATATACATACATATATATATACATATACATACATATACATGTACATATATAAAGACAAGCAAACGATATGATATACAGGGACATCATAATGTACACAGCACACACCACACCATTGAATGATTACAGTCACTACACATCGACTCCGGACCATAGTGGAGACTCGGTTGTGATGTCGGTCGACTTCTACCATCGAAAGACACAGGAAAACTCGAAGAGCATTGCTCACCAAACAAGTTGATTGTTTCATACTCCATCTATGATGAATCAAAACTATCATGGATCCATTAGCCGCTGTTGCCGTCCACTTTAGAAGGTCGGATAAGACATTAGGGTCTCCACCACGAACACACAAGCCGAGAAGGTTCTCAGCAAGTGGAGCAGACACCGAGTGTGCGGTTGGGTGGGTGCGTAGAGGTTGGTGGCAACTGTTTCAAGGATTTGCAATGGGAAGACACCAACGGCGAAGGAAATCATGGATGAGGAGGGCCAGACAGCAATGTGGTCTGCTGGTGTAGCTTCCACTTCAAACAAAGACAAAACTAAAAAGGCCTCAGAGGCGATTGATTCCATGTCACCACCGTCTGCATGGTCTCATAAATTAATTACTTTGCTCGCAAGTGTTTGAACGATACGATACGCTACCTTTCTTTCTCTACCAACTGTTACTTGATTGAGACTATATCATGTTGTAGTAATCTTTTAGTTATTGGCAACATGAGAGAGATTAAGCTATAGTTTTTTCTTTATTTTCGTCGTAAAGTAGTAACACACAAATTACTTTCTCGGGGAGATTAATGTACTCGGAAGGAAAGAATGGATGAATAGAGACAACAAAGTCAAAGATGTAAAGCTGCTAGCCGTCGCTCCCCTCTACCTACGACGCCCACAGCGGCGGTGGACTTCGTAGTTGGTGAGATAGCGTCTTGTGGGCCGTTGTTGGCCTTCTATTGTGGCGTCTGTCACTTCACGTTTGGGGTTCCTGTGGGTTGCCACTCCAACCAAATTCTTGCAGCCATCGAATTAATAATTGCCACCGGTTGGTAGTCATCATTGCTCTAAATATCGACATCCAGTAGTATTTGGTGGGTGGGTGAGTGGGATGGATGGATGGATGGATGGATGGAAAAGAGATTGAAAGGGGGCACACAATAAAACAATCATAAGAAGAGTAAAATTCAACTAGTTTGAAGACCCGTTACAGCAGCTTATTTGTAGAAGAATACTGTGTGTGTGTGACAACAAGCGTGTCATCGAAACCTTTTCATATGGTGGGATACGAACACATTTATATTAAAGCATGCAAGCTGATCACACTACATAAGTAGTATTTGCTTTTCCACACACCAATAAGTCTTAAAATAAGGTAAAAAAAAGTGAGACAACAGAATGAATGAATTGCACACCGATGTAACACTGCATTGAGTAAAAAAGACAGGAAGAAAAAGGTCCACGACATAGATATTATTTAAAGATGGTAAGATATCCTAAGCAGCATCCAATCCCCCATATTATCTTCTATCAACAAGAAGTCAGTATCAAAGGTTAGATACTACCTAGAGGACCTTCAATTGACACACACAAAGAGTTCTAGCGCTATATATAGATATAGATTATATATATCATGAAGAGCCACACCTAGGCAAGCACCAACACCTGATTGATTGCTTTAAGTTACAGGACCAAGTTATCCCTCATCCTTGTTGTACACAGATGATTCTTCTAAGCATCAACCAACCAACAGATGCCCTTCCGTCAGGGAGATGCCCATGCAAAGTAGTTACAGACAGCGCGCCTAGAAGCAGTCCAATTCCCGCACCCAAAGAAGCATCTGCCTTGGGTTGGTCCCGGCTTGCGGACGACACACTTGCTGCTCAACACCCCACAGTAGCAAAACATTTGCCTCTCCTTTCCACCAGAGCTCACAAAGGGATGAAACTGGAAAGGAGCACCTACCAGCTCTTTGGGTTTTTGGGTGTGCTGGTTTTGATCTAACAAAATATTTCGTGACGTCTCATATTTAAGGGGGAACTCTGAAGTCTGTGACATTAAGGAATTGGTGATGGAGAACTTAAAGCCCATATCCATGAGATGAACGAGGAGGCGGGCAGTATTACGAGCATCATCGAGGCCGCAGTGTGCACGGCCCTCCCATGTCAAACCGGCAAGCTGGACAGCCTCCTTGAGATTGCAGCGAACACCATGAAACATTTCCTGAAACGGAACCTTTAAGTTGATCCACCTGCTCAAAATAATGGAGAAGAGATGTTTTCATCACTTTGAAATCAATTGCATTCAATGTATGTTCAATAAAATGTCTTTGCTGAGCAGTGAATTAAGACATCAAAGAGATACATTGATGAACTTGTTGGAAGCAGATTTATCAACAACCTCATAATTAAATACACAACGATGTCGTCTGGCAAAGTGTCAACAAGCATTCTTTCCTGCTTTGTCATTAAGAAGCAAGAGCAGCATGGATTGATCTCGAGATTAAGTCAAATAGGTTTGATATACATACATAGAAAGAGGAGTATGAGAAGTTTATGGTAAAAAGTTCTGCCAGCAGAATCATGGTGACCAATTAATGAACTTCATGAAGAAAATCTACATTGTGTCTAGAACAACTATTACTAATCAGATGAAACACACAATCATGGCAAGGAAGAGTGGGTAATCCGCTGGAAAGAAGATTGGTGAACCATCAACATGCATGATAGTTACCTGTTAAAATAGGGAGGCTTCCTGATCCTTTTGAATTTGCATTCAGATTCTAACATAACACGACAATCCCAGTTAGACCATGTCACTACAGCAAAGT